TCAGATCCATGATTAAAAATGTCTTCAAGAGAATGAATCTTTGGACATTATAGACTAGCACGACAAAATCATGAAGAACTTTATCAAATTCTAATTTTACTATTTACTAACCTACATTTGTTAAATACTAAAAAACTTATTTCTTGTGTCTCAGAAAATGAAATGCTAACAAATTTGATCCATAATTTTAAAATGGATTTAGGGTATCTAATCCCTGCAGGTAAAATTAGACTATAAAGAGCAAATAAAAGACTTTTGTTTGAAATAATTATATCTTTACAACCAGAAATCTGCACTCAAGATTCTATAAAAGCAGATTGGCCTTGCACATTTGAAAGAGGTTTTATGATGCATTAAAATGTGCTTAATAGCAAAAGCACACAGATTGATATAATTTGTTTTATTCAGTCTAAGTTGAGCATTTTAACACAGCATTATAAAATCTCTTAGACTAATCATAAAATAAGCTATACTAGGGATAGTTTTGCCCAATGCTGCAAGAGGTTACAAAATCAAAATATTATCCTGAGAAGCAGACCAAGACTGCATGGCAACCAACTCATCTGGAAATATCTAAAATATCATCTGTATTCTCAAACCAATGATTAAAAATGACTTCAGGAAAATGAATCCTTCACTGGATCTTATAGACTGACACTACAAAATAACAAGCTTTGCCAAATAACAAAAACAACATCACTTGAAGAATTCCAACAGGAGCAACAACAAAAATGTTTAGCAGATGTAACAAGAACAGAAAAGATTGATATAATCAAGATGTTAACTTTTCATTCTATCTTTAAAAAAGGTTAGGAAAGAATCTCCCATCAATACTAGATCGATTGATTTTTTTATGGATTATCAACCTTTTGTAGGTTATTTAATACTAGAAAATATTTTTTAGATTGTAAGAATTTTTGGAGATAATGATTTACTGATAGAAGTTTTACTAATTAACCCATAGTTGTGGGGGAGAGAAGAGGTGGATTCATGCCTTACCCAATGGTATTTGAACATAAGAGAATATAAACCCAACTGGAATTGGAAGATGGACTCTCCAATTTCAAGCCGTTATCCATTAAACTACATGCATGTCAAAGTTTACAGCAGCTGGTATACTTAAGCAGTCACCCATCTAGGTACTGACCAGGCTCAACAATGCTTAACTTTGATGATCATATGAAAATTGGTATTTCAATGGGATATGGCACTAAACTATCAATACTAGAAAAGACATAGGTGATCATGGCTCTCCACAGCTTCCTGTACCTTGTAACATCTAATAAACTTTGTCTTTCTGTTATTTATCCTAAGCTTTGTTCTGCCATCCATTTACTCAAGCTCATTATGTATGTTATTGGTTGTTTTCCTCTGTCCTTCTTGCCTTCAATCTGTCCTGTGAGTATCAGATTTTCCAAGCCCTCCTTCCTCATTATGTGGCCCAGAAACCTCAAATGCCTCTTCCTGATAAGTATTAGTTTCCTTTTTTTCCATTTTCTCCAAAATTTTGTTGTCGCTCACATGTTCAGTACACAGTGTCCTCAGCATCTTTCTGTAGAACAACATTTCTGCCATTTTCATTTTTGAGGAGATCGTCCAGCACTTACTATCGTACATATATCACATAGCAGATAATTTCCTAAAAAACAGTTTTAACATCTTCCTTGTGACTTTTTTGGGGGGGCGGGGGGAGATTTTCATTTTCAGATTAAATTTTTTATTTGTTTTTAATACAGTGTTGTGGAGTGATTTTGCAGCGGAGGATTGTATTTGTACTTAGTCGGTCCTAATATAGGTTCGACGTACAAAACGTTAGGAACTTGATATAATAGGTATAACGCAGAGTAGTCTAGTTGTGGTTGCTGATACTTTAGTATTTGACTGTCGTCCAACATCGACCAACTGACTACTCTTACTACTCCTCCTTATTATAGGTGGGAGAGTCTATTAACTATAGAATAGGTGTGTTTCACCATAACATATAGTAACTAAGAAACTGATTCACCTTGAAGTAACCAAAGAGGTAGCTAGCACCTCTACCAGATGCATGAGTTGACAGTTGAACTCACTGCAATCTCTGAAGAGCATAAAAAGAATCAAGATCGACATATAAGCATGTCCATAGCTGGTTTTTGAAGATTATGTTTTGAATGTGTTTATTCGTCTGTGTCTGAAAAAGGCACTTTCAGTAAAAATGTACACATACACATCTATACTGGGGAAGGGTTTAAGAAAATGACTTTATAAATTTCACCCGACAGTAACACTAATTGTTTAGTCAAAGAATGTCAAATGTTTCCTTCATTGAAATGGCTAATTTCACTTTCATTTTCACTGTGTGTGTGTGTGTGTGTGTGTGTGTGTGAAAGCATTTTAAATGCAATCTGATGAGATTCAATATTAGATGTAAACAGTTACAAAATGCCCAATTAATCCATGTAACTTAGCAAAAGATACGAGAAACAGAATTAAAATGTTTACCTTTCAATACAGTGAATGAAACAATGCTTATTCATCGAACGGATGCTGCTGAGAGCTTTTCAGCACCCCCTCATAGATTATACAAATAAATGTTTTGACAATAGATAAGTTCTTCACTACTTTAAAAAAAAAAAAAAAAAAAAGCACAAGAAAGAATTCTTTGTTTTTCAGCAAAATTTCACTCGATGCGTGTGTAAAGGACAACAAAAGCAATAAAGAAGAAATGTTAGTACAAACAATATTAAAATCAATAATCCTGCTAACAATGAACAATAGCAAATTCCAATGTTGTTCTCTTCTTTAACAAGATCAGAATCACATCAGAGTGACAATTGTATTTTCTCTAAAAACACATGATTACATGAGGGAGCACATATTTGCAAGTATAGCTCTAGTTTCAGGTCCATAAAACAAGCAAACTTAAGATTCTATTTCAGGTATCAAAACTCCTCATAGGTAAATTTAAATAACACAGGATGGGTGGAAAGAAACTCCCTGTTGAAAATTACTTTTACCTTTTGTTAACATCACATGAAATAAAATATATTCTGATCCCTAAAATGGTAGAAGTTCATTGCTAATTTCTTTTTTGTGACACGTGTAGACCAGAATGACACAAAACCTGGCACTGCATGAGTGTGCTTAGCTCAGCTAGCATCCTGTTACAAAGTGTGACAGTCTGTGGTACGAGTGTAAAGATGATGAGGCAGTGTTTATGGAACTTATGCTTCAGTAGATAGCAAAACCATCATAAATTGTCATTCCAAGCTGATGAGTATTGGATCTCGGATAGATACCCACAGAATCGGTCAACATTCAATTCTCAGATTTAAAGAAAATGAGCAAAAGGTACAAGAATTGAAGGAATCAGTTGAGGAAATGCCCAGATGATTACAAACATTGGTAAACAACACTGGTACCTATATAGAAGCTTAACACTGTAATGTACTTCTACCATTATAAATAAAACATTTTACAAAAATCAACCAATAGGGAGTTTCTTTGCACCAATGCTACATATACATATTATTATTATTTATATAATAAAAAGACTTAAACACTAATATTCCATGGTCATAATTTATTCCATTGGCATCGTAAATACAATCCAATTCATCAGACCTACAAATTCAAAAAGAAAACAGAAAAAACAACTCTGGAAATAAAAAAAATAAAATTTAGAGTGAGTAAGTATGAGAATGTGGGACGAGCTATAGAGAGGGGTAAGAGATGAGAGAAGGTGGGGGATTAAAATTTAACATGTGTATGCATGTATGTATATATATTTATATATTTTGCATATGTATGTATATATTTACCACTAATATTATATATACATATATATATATCAGACATTGAGATGTTAATAAAATAGTGGCTGATGTAAAATAATAGAAGTATAAATTATATATTAATAATAAATATACATTTTTTTCCTCACCAGACAAAAAAAAATGTATATTTACTATTATATATATATATATATATATATATATTGTGATGTTAACGAACACTCATTGCCACTTTAATAATTCCAATGAATACTCATTGTCATTTTCATAATGCTTGTTTGTAGTAGAGACTTTGTAATTGCAGATACAACTATAGTAAATCGACAACCAATGCTGGTGTCAGACACTTTTGATTAAAACTCACACTAATAGTACTTGCTCGACAATATTCACTCGAATAGTAATCTGTAGAGTGATCCAAATAGAAAAATAGTATAGTGAACAGAGTAGAGAATAGTGATCCATATGGTAATAGAGGATAGACTAGAAATGCAGATCATTAGTTGTCATCTACTTCCTACATATATGTGTTTCCTCTATGGCTACATGGTTTACTTAATTCAAAAAATGGGATCACCTGTGTTTGCATACTGGTGATCTATGTTCAAAGTCAAGTGTTGGTGGTGACACTTTATTCCTATATAATAATACACATATACACACACACACATATATATATATATATATATATATATATATATATATATATATATATAGTATACACTAAGTGTCAGTAGTAATAATAAAACAGTGTTTGGATGTAAAATAGCAGAGATAAATTTATATAAAGAACTATCAATCTATTCCTTGTTGCTACATATTTTCATGTACAGCAATTGTCAGACACAAATTAAAAATTTTTAATTTGTGCTTGACAATTGCTATGTGAATGAAGCTTTAATTAGCACTGAGTAGTGGTGAACATATATATAATACTTCTTTTTTTTTTATTTGTTCAAGCGTCCTACAAGGCTGGCATCCCGCTCTCACCCCTTCACTGTCGAAACTACTAAATGTAGCCGTCTCTTCTACTCTAATAGCTTCATGTCTCGCACCTCTCGCCTGTGGAACTCCCTTCCCTACTCCAGTTTCCCTGAGAGCTATAATTTCCAGCTATTCAAGTGTAATGTCAATCAACATCTCCAGTTAACTTGATCTATCCACTACCCTTCTCCTCATACTCTCTTCTGTCACTCCTATCTGATCTTGCTCTAAATTTTCTGTAACCCCTTGCGAGAGAGAGAGAGAGATAGAGAGAGAGAGATATATATATATATATATATATATATAGATAGATAGATAGATAGATAGATAGATAAATAGATATCTCCAAATGAGAGAAAGAACAGATGAAGTTCCACTCTTTGTAACATTTAAAAAAGGTATCAATACAAAGTAGAGCAATATGTTATTATTTTATTATAAGATATTATAACAAAAACATGTTGAAATCGCTACACAATTGCTTTTGTGTTCCAGCACTACATCGTACCACTTCAGGCATCATCATCTTGCGGCCTCAGCTGAGATTGAACTCACCAATACTTTGATGTAGTTCATAATCTTGTCAAATAGCTGAATTTTTGATGCTTCACTAGGGCTATCAAGGGTGTTTTTATCGTGACACCAACACTAAATAGATTGCCAACCAAGGCTCAGAGAGACTTCATTCACCCTCCTCTAAGAGCAGGTTTGAATTCAGAGTTTTCCTTCTCCTAGACCAGTTGCCATCCAAGGCTATAGAACCCAGTCTGTCCTGCTATTTACCCATAGCTGGAGGGAGAAAAGAGAGGATTCACACCTTTCCCAAGGGTGTTAGCACGTAAGTGAATGTAATGGATTCAACTGTAATTTGAACTCGGCTCTCCGATTTCTCAATCCAAGCCGCTATCCATTACTCCACTGTGCCTCCTTCAGGTATACAACATAGTGCTGAAACACGAACGCTATTGTATGGCGATTTCAACAGAACTCCCTTATATTGTTTATATTGAAGAAAATCTTCCTAGATGGAGCAAGAACTGGACATTCAGTCAATACATGTTTTATAATGTAAGCAAATTTGCAAGTTGGGCATATTGAAGTGAAACAATTATGTTGAATCAATTGCTATTTCTGCAGCTAGGAAAATTGGGTCACTGCAGTCTGCTAGACAATTTTTCTCATCAGAATCTATTTTACACCTTTATAAGTCTACCATTCAAATATTGCTGCCTGGTGCTTCTGCTACGTATCTAGGGATTCTTGACAGAATCCAAAGAAGAATCTTAAATGTCATCAATCCTGACCTGATATCTCGGCTTCAGTCACTTTTTCTCATCGTCATAATATAGCTTTCCTTTGCCTTTTCTATAAATACTTTCATGGTAATTACTTTCCTCTTTGATATGTCACCTTCATGAATTAATGTTCAAATTGGTAAGTGTTAGTGTAAGTTCTATGTTAATGATTTCTTTTCTCATATTTCTTGATCACAGAACTCTCTTCCAGCTTCTAGCTTTCCTGTCAACTATGAATTTCAAAAATTTAAGTCCATTGTCAATCATCATCATCTGTCTCAAATCCTGTTCTTTTATTGTTCTCACTATCCCTCTCAATGTTTCTTTCACTCTCAGCAATTCTTTGTGTCTTAGTGGCTTTATTACCTTGCTTGGGGTGAAATGATTAGAACAAAAAGCTCGAGCAAATTCAAAACTTTATCTAATTAAAAAAAAACATCAATTTTACATCATGAACAGGAATATTTTGAAACAATTTAAGTTATCACAAAAATCATAGTATTTTTATAGAGAAAAAAGTATGAACTGAAAATAAACTCAGATCACAATGAAATCTGCTGACGAGTGGACGAAACTTCCATGAAACACAGAGTACAGATTGAAAAAAGATAAGTGAACTATTTTAATTAATAATAATTATTATTGTCCTATTTCTTGTTATTAAGCCCTGTATTTGCCAGGAGTGCTTTCCTTGAATGTTTTATCTTTTTTAATTACTCTGGTTTATAATAAACCCAGGGTTACAAACTATATATATATATATATATATATATATATATATATATATATATATTTACACAACTTTAAGAGTGATTGCCCACATACAAAATAGCAGTGATAAAAAAAAAAAAATTCTAAAAAGAGCACACTAGAATTTATCCTCTCGTTTACTTTACCTTAAAGTCAACAATGCCGAACAGACACTAGTTAACAATGGCTTCCCTAACCACCTTATAGACCACCAAATTAGACTATTTCTTCCCAAAGTAAATAATAATGATAGTAAACACATGGTCAAAAATAACAAATACTTTCTACAAAAAGCCAAATGCATGTCAACTACAAACAAGATGAATCTTCACTTAGAAATATCATAAAGAAATACACTAACTGAATTGACTGAAAAAAAAAAAAAAAAAAAAAAAAAATCAAATTAATTATCTACTACAAAAATTCAAAACAGCTAACCTCATCCTCAAAAATAACAACACATCAGCAAAATCAAAATTACAATGAACAAACATTATCTATGAGTTCAAATGCCCCTTAAGTACCTGTGTTCCTGATCAAACAGAATTCATAAATAATTACATCAGTCACATTACTACATATTCAAATACTTTATATTACACCTATCTGACCACAGCTCCATTAGAACCCATTTAAACACACACACAAACTTACCAGACTCCATCCAAATCATACTAGTAGAAAATACAAACAAAATAACCTCATCCACATGTAAAATAGTTTAAAAATAATGGAAGCCTTAATAATAAAAAAAAGAAAAGGCCAACACTCAATAACATTAACTACAAATACAGCAACAATGTGCTGCGTTTTGGAAAATAAAACACCCCTATAATTCTAGAAACATACACACAACCCATACACCCAGTTAAAAAGCAAAAATAAAATCATCCTTGATAATGACTAAAAGTATATCTGAAAGCACTCAGAATTACAGAATATTTAGACAGTTTCTACACATTCTGTGTCCAGAAAAGAAAACACTTGTTTGAACACAAGAAAAATTAAATAAAAAGCTTAATCACAATACCTTGTCTGGCATCTTTAATGAAACATATGTGTGTGTGCATATATATATATATATATATGGGTAATTCAATGACAAATGGGGGGGAAAATTCAATGCTTTTCATTTTCTAACTAAAAGTACATTAAACAAAGCAATGGGATTATATGTACATGTAAACATTATTTATAATTATACACTGAGGAGAAACACAGGAAAGCTAAATTTTAAAATTTCTGTTGTCCTATGTGTCTCAACACACAGCTCAGCCAATCTCAGTTGGTTTCTCAGCACTTTTGTTTTATCATTTGTTTTTAAACAACCCACACTGCAAAAACAGAAGATTTATTAAGAAAGATGAAATGCTGTAAGAAGCCTAATGCAAATTTACTATGGAAGACTCAAAAATTACTACACTTTCTATCTTTTTGCCTTAGTAAATTTTTTTCCACTTTGTCATTCCCAATATTGTATTGATATATAAAAATTTACATATATTCCGAATAAAAAATTTCAGCATCTATTCTTTGTGTACATGCACAGTCACATCAATGTAAACATCATTTTAGCCCAATGAAGTCCTAAAGAATGAAAAACATTACACAAAATTGTTTTTACACTTTTCATTAATTTTCCTAATATCATATATATATATATATATATATATATATATATATATATATATGGCTGTCCAGAAAGCTCATGCTGATTTTTAGGGAAATTAACGCACAAAACAAAATTATGCCATTAAATATTTATTCAACTAAATATGAACCATTTTGTTGCACAAACTTTCTCCCTTTTTACTTCAACTTAAAAATTCCATCTTCCCAGAATTTTTGTGGTTTCTATGGAAAGAACTTATTAAGGTGTTTTCTTTTATGTCATCCAAAGAATTAAAATTTTTACCATTGAGGACTTGAATAAATGAAAATCCAAGGGAGCAATAGCAGGTGAATATGGCGGTGTGGGGTAACAATTTTTACCGGGTCGCCAAAGAAACATGAGGTCTTGCATTATCCTGATGGAAAACAACACCTTTCCTGTTCAACAATTCTGGACGTTTTTCTTGAATTGCTGCTTTTAATTCACTCAGTTGCGAGCAGTACTTTTCAGAATCAATTGACCGGTTACTTGGCAGAAGCTCATAGTACAAGATCCCTTTCCAATCCCATCAGATATACAATATGACTTTCTTGAGATGAAGACCTGCTTTTGAGGTGGCTAAAGTTGGCTCATGTCACTTATACCAGGATCTTTTTTGCTGAACACTGTTGTAAACAATTCATTTCTCATCACCTGTCATGATTTGCTTCAAAATGGGCATATTTTCATCATATTTATACAGCAAATCACTGATGAAATGTGATCTAAAAGATTCTTTTTACTCGGATCATTTGGTACTCAAATGTTGTAGTGATTTGAGTACCCAAGCTTCATTAAATGCTCATGGATGGTAGATTTTGATAAATTTAGTGTTTCTGCTAATTCCCACGTTGTGTAATGTGGGTTATTCTCATTCAATGTCTTGATTTGCTTGTCATCTATATTGGGGGTCTGCCTGAGTGTTCTTCATCAATAAGACTACAATCATTAATTCAAAACATAGCAAACAACTTCCATACAGTTCTGTCAGCTAAAGCACCTTCACCATACAAAGCATCATATCTTTTTTGTTGCTTGCAAGGCATTTTTTGCCTTTATGGTAAAAAAATAAGCATAAAGTGTCTAAAATGCACCTTATAATCTTTCATTTTCATAGGGAAATTGACATGAATTAAGTAATTTTAAACTTTCTTTCTCAAGAGAGTGTGTGAAGCGTGCTCTATTCAGAAATCAGAAATATAAGCATATTATATCTGTTGTTAAATTTAATATGTTTTAACATATTGGAACATGAACGACTAAAAATCAACATGAACTTTCCAGACATTATATATATATATATATATATATATATATATATATATATATATATATTGATCTAAATAGATTTCATTAATATTGTTCATAATAGAAAAAGGAAACAAAAAACAAAGAAAGAAAGTAAGTAAAAAAATGAAATGGCTAGTTGCGCTACATAGATCTGAGCCCTATCTGTGCTGGAGACATACTTAATAGGCAATGTATTATTGCTTTAATTTAATAAATAATCTTTTAAAAATCTCTAATGACTTGTATGTCCTGTTTTTCAAAGAACATATTTTTATTTCAACTTATTGTTTTCAAATGCCCATTTTAAATAATTTATTCTGTACAGTATAGGATTTTTTAGCACAGTGTATCAATTGA